ATGCTTGTCTAGAATTTTGGTAACGTATTAGTCATCATTCAACGCTCCTCTATTAATAAACACGAGATCAGTACGGCTTTCGAATGAAATGACTACCAAAACATTACAGATCCTCCTAAAAAAAGCACCACGAGCTCGTCGAGCACAAGCTCCCCACGTCTTCTGTATGTTTTGAGTCTCCAGCAAACTCAAATCGGCGTTGTCGATGTGCTGCTGCTAACAAAGGTCCTCTTACTGGGCAGCGAGCCCTTAGACGAAATTCCCTTAACCTACTTCTCACTATAGAAGTGATTTATGTCCACCAGTGAGCATTTTGAAAACAGATTTGGATTGCTTTTGCTGTAAAGAACCGATTTTACAAGGAATTGCGTTGTAAAGAACGGTCTTCTCTATCCGTCGTGATTCTTCTCGCACCTCATCCTGGTGGTCGTTCGTGAGATCCAGTCTCTATGAATCGTTGGTATGTTTTTTGGTGCATACAACGACTGACTCCAAGCTGTCTGGCCACTTCTCTTTGACTCATTCTATTATCAATCAAAGTAACAATTTGAACAGATCTAGCAAATCTCGTATCCATACTTTTAAATTTAAAAATTACACAAATTCACTCTTTGAACAACTGTACGCTAATGAAAGATATTTGAAAAACAGAAGAGCCATGTAATTCCTGCCATGTAAGCCGTGTAAGCCAGTGTTTTTCGTCCCCTAAAGTGATTACCATCAACCGAAAAACGGTAGCATACTTTGTGTTTAGCATTGTGTATTTTCTAACACACCTCCTTCTTCTTCTTAACGTGCCCTATCAAGTCCCCTTGACGTTTGCGATTAACATGGCGGAACTGTCTCTGTCTCGAGCTATTCTAAAGAGTTGCTCAGCTTTCCTTATTCCTGTCTACTCCCTGATATTCTTCAACCAAGAGGCCTGCTTTCTACCAATTCATCTGCGTCCTTCGATTTTACCCATCATAATAAGTTGAAGTATATTATATCGGTCTCCTCTCACTACGTGTCCAAAATAGACCATCTTTCTACATGTGATGTTATCAGAATTTGCTCTCTCAAGGACTGCCACATTTGTCACCATAGCCGTCCATGGAATTTTTAGTATACGTCTGTGCAGCCACATTTCAGAGGCCTCCAGACGATTAATGGTGGATATTTTTAATGTCCATGCTTCGACACCGTATAAGAGGACTGACCAAATGTAGCATTTAACCATGCGCTTTCGAAGTTGAAGTTGCAAGTTATCACTATAGAAGAATGACCTCATTTTTAAAAATGTCGTGCGGGCTATCTCGATTCTACATTTTATCTCTTGATCTGGATCTAGTTGTTCAGTAATATGGCAACCAAAATATTTAAAACTGGACACTCTTTGAATTATATGATCATCAACATATAATCGTGCATCTTGATGTGCTAAACGGCTAAACACCTTGTGTTTTGTTTTTGAACAGTTTATGTTTAGGCCACTGTATCAATGGCATTTAAAAGGCATTGTAGTCCATTCATGTCATCACTTAAAATAACTGTATCGTCTGCATATCTAATTGTATTTATCAGAATTCCATTAACTTTCACGCCCCATTCCAAATTATGCAGCGCTTCTTTAAATATTCTATCTGAATATAAATTAAATAACAGTGGGGATAGTATACAACCCTGTCTGACACCTCTCTGTATTTTACATATTTCTGTTGATTTTCCGTTTATGCAAGCTGTCGCTGTTTGATGCCAGTATAACTTTTCTATGAATCGTATGTCTTGACTATCGACTCCTTTATCTTTTAATATTGTAATTAATTTGTGATGCTGTACTCGATCAAAGGCCTTTTCATAGTCAATAAATACAGTAAAGACGTCTTTCCTTTGATCTCGACATTTCTGCAGTAATACATTTAGTGCAAAGAGGGCGTCCCGAGTTCCCAGTCCATTTCTGAAGCCAAATTGTGTTTCATCCTGGTCTTCTTCACATTTATCTCTGATTCTGCTGTGGATGATGCGTAGAAATATTTTTAAAGTGTGGCTCATAAGGCTTATCATTCTATAATCGCTACAGTTTTTTGGACGTTGTTTTTTTGGTAGTGTTACGAATTCGGACTTTAACCAATCTTCAGGAATATCACCAGTCGAATAAACATCATTGAAAAGCTTGACCAGTATTATAATTTTCTCCTCATTTATTAGCTTTAACACCTCTGTCGGTATGTTATCAGGGCCAACGGCTTTCTTGTTCTTTGCTAACTTTATAGCATGCAGTATTTCTGATTTTAGTATTTCTGGTCCTTCACCTTCAACCAAAGTCTCCAGTTCTTCGGGTCTATCATCATTATACAGTTCACTTATATAATAACACCAGTTTTTTCGAATTTCATGTTCGTCTATTATCATTTTTCACGACGAATCGGTTATAGTATGTGGAGTTTTCTTATGATAAGACCAGCTACTTCTTTAACTTTTTTAAACATATTAAACTTATCATGTTTTTCATTCAAATCCGCTACTTCCTTGCATTTATCCTCCATCTATTTTTCTTTAGCCACCTTTATTTTTTGTTTAATTAGTTTTTGTTTCTCCTTATATTCTGTCTTGTTACCTTTCAGTTTCCTTCTCTGCTCCATTAATTCCAGGATTTCATCAGTCATCCATTGTTGTTTTTTGTGCCTGTGTAACGTTGTTGAATATTTTTCTATTACTTTCAAGGTAAGATCTTTAAATGTGTTTCATATTTCTGTGTTGTTTTCATTTATTGGTTTCTTTAGCTCATTGTTTAAGTCATTTTCTATTAACATTTTGTTGGATATTGAGATATTTAATTTTGGTGTTTTGGGGCGTTCTTGGACTTTTTTGAGCTTCATTTTGATGTCAGTTATTAGAGGGTTATGATCTGAAGCGATATCTGCACCAGGATATGTCGTTACTCAGGTGACGCAATTCTTAAATCTCTTGTTTATCAGAATATAGTCTATCTGATTTCTAATCATATGTAGTGAATTATCTCCTGGTCCCCTCCATGTGTATAACCTTCTTTTGTGTAATTTGAACCATGTATTTGCGATTATCATGTCATGTTCTTGACAGAACTGGTATAATCTATCGCCTCTTTCATTGCTATCCCTTAGTCCATATTCGCCTACCAGGTCAGATATTCGGCCTTGGCCAATTTATGCGTTAAAATCTCCAATGATATATGTGACTTCGTTACTTTTTAGATTTTTAAGTGTCTGTTTTAATTGGCTATAGAATGATTCGACATCATTATCGTATTTCTTTTCTGCAGTAGGGGCATATATCTGGATAACATTGACATTAAATGGTTTGCTATTTAATTGGAGTCTTGCTAGTCTGTCGTTCATTGGTATAAAATTTTTCACATATTTCTTAAATTTAGACGTTATAACATACCTCCAAACAACTAAATAACTTGCGAGAAATTAATTTAGAAACAATTTATTAATTTTGTGTAATAATCAAAAAATATAACATAAGGGCACCAGCAAATAACGAAGCGGCAGCAAAAGAGAGGAAATGCCATACATTTTATTCAAGTTAATATCGAGGCTCGTTCGGAATTTCTTGATATAAAAAATAAATAACTCAGAATACCTGCCAGCGCCGGCTAAAGCAGGTGCAATACCAAACCGTCGTTTATCCTTCATTATTAGAAATAAAATAAAACCTCCATTCATGTCGACATGAGAGTGAAATGTATCGGCTATTGTTTCTTGGAGAATGAGCTTTCGTTCTAGATTTATCTTAAATCTATTTTCAATAGTTATAGGTTTTGCTATACCTGATAATGATTATTTGTTATAACTTATAACTAATAAAGATTTATTTGAGTGGCTTTATATCAAAGAGGGACATATGTCATGCAAGAAAAATTAAAATAAATTGGTTTTTTTTGTACATAGCTGCTATTATTCTTTTTATAAAAATCTCACTTCCTATAATTTTAGTAAAGGCTTCAAAAGTTGTGGACATTCTGATATTAGAAATATATGAAATTATTATTTTAAAATGAGTCGCACAGAAGCAGAGTGGCCTAAGTGTAAAATTGATGTTTTGAGATATCGGCAAATAAAGAATTGAGCTAAAAATAAAACCAGTATTATTTTATTCACTTACAAACATTTCTGGAACCTAATACATTATATGAGTCGAATGCGCAAAAAATTAACAAAAAAAATCTTTTTTTTTACAAAAAAAACAGTCAGTTGGGCCACTATGTCAAATATTAAGCTTTTACGAAAAAACATAAAACTTTCACTTGGGTCACATATTCATCTGTTTCCTACTTATCTACTGCCTCCACGTTTGTCTTCAGGTTTATGTAAAATTCATGATAGACCGGCGGAAGAAGACCCTGAAGGTCTTTATACTTTAGTTGCTCTATGGGTTATCCAGCAGGATAGAGGATATCCAAATAGAACTCGTCTTTTTTAATCTGAAAGACGTCTGTTCTTTTTTTTGTGACGTCAACACAATTAAATAATACACCCTCGTTATTAGAATACTTAAAATAAATTTTGAATGGCTCTTCTGATTTGAACATTAGCCACTGTATTTTAAGCCATTCTACTTTTATATCTTGCTCTCCTTTTTTTCGGTTTGTAAGTAACTTCTCTAGTTTTTCAGTACACTTAAAATTTTCAGAGGTCATTTTAAATACCTGAAATTTGTTCTTCTTTTTGGAACTGGAAATAACTTTCACCCAATCGTCTGGCAAAAAAATGTCTTTAAAATATCGTTTTTGTTTTTCGATCACTCCAAAGTCTCTGTCACTGGCAAATAGGAGTGACCGGAAACTTGTGATGTATGACTGTGGGACTGAAAGTATTGGAGACACTCATGTATGTACAAATAGATGCCAGTTTAATATTTCGATTCTGACCTACGCATTGGTCGCTGTACAAGATCAAAACTGGTGTGTTACATTTGTTTTTACGGAGTGTAAAATGCAAGAACCAATTTCTTGTGGGCCACGTGAGGCTATGCCTTCATGCCATACATACATGTGTATCTGTCCTGTCGTTAGATTGTGGATGCCATACATGCATGTGTATATGTCCTGTCGTTAGATTGTGGATGCCAAAACAATACGTCCACAACTGTCTCTTGTAATAAGCCACTCCCGTAGAAATACTAGGAGTAGCTAAAGTTTTCATCAAATCAAATGTAATTACTGTTGTGGTATCTTTATTCTTGGCTGCATCTTCCTTCATTCCACTTCGAGCTGCTTCTACCTTCCGCAGGTGTAACTCTTTCTCTCTTTCCATTCTGCTTTTATCTACACCTACACAGCTTTTTATTTTCATGTTATAAGCGTCACATCGTTTGCAAGTGTCAGTGAGAGGATAACGGAAATGAAGATTAAAATCTTCATTAAATATTTTCGAAAAGATGAATTTGGATACCTTCACTTCTGGTTCTTCACCTTGCACATACAAATCATAAAGTTTTGAGATATTTAAATCAGGTGACAGATACTCTCGATTAGGATTTTTGTTGCGGCTATAGTGTGATGTATATTTGGCAAATTTGTTAATGAAATCTTTTATATTTTGAATATCGGTTTTCCTTGTCTTATTCTTAGGGGGGTGCTTACCTCTTTTATCTAGTGGCGGAGTGATTAATTCGCCACCTATTGATTTGTGTATTAAAGCTCTGGTGAGCCTTCCATCTGAAACTTGTAGAGCTTTTTTGAAAAATGATTTATAAATAGTTACCATATCACTGTCTTTCGGTAATGTATCAATTTGTGTCTTAGAACGTTTATTATAGTTTTGAGCTGCTGTATGTCGACCTTTATTGACAACATTTACTTGTATATTAATGTAAGCAGTCTGTAAATTAAAATCAGATAAGTTGTAGAAACTTTGGAAAATATTTTTTCTTTCTTCAAGAGATAACAACAAACGACACTTTCATGGATAGCTGCAAACTCCATGAAAAAATTGTTTCTTAGACACAATTCTACCACGAGAATTCAAATATGATTTTCCTGAATTTCTTTCCAACTTAGACTTAGATCTTTTCCAAACTGAATTATTTTTCTTACGTTTTTTACCCCTACTTGATCCAGGTTCCACAAGTCCATCTTCTGTGAAGCTTTCCCTAGTTGTAGAAGACTCAGCATCATAAGGTGGATGGAAGTCAGAGCCAGAATCTGTTTCAAATTCACAGGGTTCACGAGTACTGGATGTATCCGACAACGGCATTTCCAAAATATAAAAAAAATATTCTCTATTAATTATTAATTCAAGTGATCAAATGTCTTTAAAAAAAACTTTTGAATAAAATCCTTTACAAATGTCTTTAAGTTAAAGACTAACCTGTACTTTTGGCAACATCGCTTAGAAAACCATTAACATACCATAGATATTATAAAAATATGTCTAAGTAGAAAACTAGCCTGCTTTCTTCATTTTAAGGTTATAATTTTAAGGTTATAATCTTAAAAAATTTAGAATCCCAATTTCAATTTTGAGCCGAGATATTTACAATCACTATTAATTTACACTAAAATACAATAATTTACTCACCGTTGCTCAAGATTGCACAAACATAAACCGTATAAAAGGCTGATAGTACTTTAAAGAACGAATTAACGCTAGACAAGACTGATACAAACACACAAGGCAAGAGTAACAATGTCTAAAATATCATACTGCACAATGTCCCAACTGTCACTTGGACCACGTTTCTATAACTAGATCATGTGAAATGTTTACGTAGCCTAACTGTACAAGTCGCGCCATCTCTTGATATACAACGAAATGTTAGTTGAGCCACTCTGAAATGAAAGATATGATAAAATGCCACCTATTGTACTACTACTACTACTACTAAGGATTTCCACAGTTTTCACTGTCTTCCTTCACTCAACCGTTTTCTCCAATTTTCCCTGTCATTCCAGTCTCCATCTCGCAGGGTTCTTTTCTCCATAGCCTCGTCGATTTCATCTCTGAATGACCTTCGGGGTCTTCCTCTCTTTCTTCTTCCGATCGGGCTCCATTCTGTGATTTTGTTTATCCAGCGTCCTCTGTCCGCTCTTCTGACGTGGCCGTACCAGGATAGTACCAGGCCGTACCTATTGTACTACCTACCTGAATTATACAAAAAATCAGTTGGGCCACTCTTCTTCTGAGCCACTCAAATACAGATGTTCGTTTTTGGAATAAAAATGGCTACATTTCCATGTTTGATCCAAATGTAATGGTAGGAGTCCGTTTTTGATGCAAAAAAATTGTATTTGAAAGAGTGAACCCTCGGTTTGGATCTAGCTTAAAATGTAATGCTTATAACATTCATATAGGGAATTAAATATTTTAATTGAAAATTCCAATTTTCAAATCTTTTATTCAAGTTGCATTAGTACCTACCTACAAAGCAATTTAATTAAAAATATATAAAGTAAAATACTCGAACTTAGATCAGAAGTACATAGGAGTAAAAATATTTGCTTACGTGACTTTCTACATCTTACTTTCTATTCAAGCTGGCTTTGGATTTTTCAGATAAAACCTTTTTGTAGTTATTGAACGGAGCGTAACAAAAGTTTTACATCTTGTTATTCTTCGTATATGTATTCCTATTTTTCAGAAATAATGATATGCATACATACGAACACTCATCAAATAGGTAGCTTTTAAAATGGCAGTGTAGCTGAAAGTTACCTTTAATGCATTTTAAGTAAGATAAATATATCTAAAAATTGAATTTAAACAAAAATGTTATGGGTATAATCTTTTTACGTGACGGAAAATACGTTTGACATTTTATCTCTGTTGATAGGTAACAAACAAAATATCACGTTATATGAAATTATTGCCTTCCTCGGGAAAAAGTGAGTCTTTTTCCCCGAAGATACAGGTTGGGTTTTTAATATGACATTGGCCAATAATTTATTTATGGTACTCAACACTATTTAAATTAGTCTTTCTCAGATTATCAGATCAACTATAGTATATATAGATATAGTTATAGTTACTATAGATATAGTTACTCTGATAAATAGCATCATCGCTTATACTGTTTGGTTTATTCATCGCTTATACTGTGGCTTAGCATTATATTTCTTAACCGATTAATGCAAATATTCAAAAAATGAACAAATTTGGCCTGTCATAAAGGAAGGCTGCTATAATATTTAAACTTAAATTTTTCTTGCTTCTCGATCCATGCTCGTTAATAAAATGGTTAATATTGAAAGTTCCATAAATCACTCACCATAGATATTCACATTATTGTTTATAATCCGCATTTTCCACTTTTTCTTTCGAGCATAAACTTTAATTAGTTAAAATACTTTTTACGGATTGATTTCCTTGGCAATACAATAGATGAAAGTTGTTTGTGTGTGCTAGCTCGTATTAAAAGTAGCCACCGGGTCTCGTTTGCTTGGTGTTGATAAAAATAAGAATATATACTGACATTGCATATTAAAAAGGTTCGCAAAAGGATATGTGAAGTAACTTTAATTAAAATTGAATCGTTGGAATACTTTCTGAGAGACGGAAAATACATGTTACCATTCATGAATGTTAAGTGTATTCTAATGTATTATTTTTTGTAAGTTTCTAAGATTTATTCACATATTCTTCACATGGTTCACGTCACATACAAAATACTTAAAATGGCACTATAACTATACTGCAAAACTGTATAGACCAGGCAATATCTATTTTGGGATGGGTAAAATCATATATGATCCAATTTTATTGCTTTAATCGCTTATTATATATTATTAGAAGTTATAATTTTACTATACGGACACTTGAAATGGTGGGCTAAAAATTAGAAAAATTCAATTTTTTATCCTTATCGTTGCTATATCTCAGCAACCATGCATTTTAGAAAAAAATTGTGATTTTGTGAAATTTAGGGCGTCTTCAATAATAAGATATATTAAAGAACTTGCCATTGATCCGAACTTATTCGTGCGCTTAAAATCTGTAACCAAGTGCTTGACTTTAATATTGACTACAAACGCTGCCCCAAATTCATGTTTTGTTCCGTGGCAACTGTTCTATAGGGGACAGTGGGGCTCCTTGAGACATAAAAATTTGAACTGTCATATCACTCTAAATACCTCACCAAATAAAGAAAGAAAATATTCATAAAATACATTGTTCAGCCAACTTTCACTGTATGTATGCTTTTAATATTAAACCCTATACTTGTGAAATAAATCAAAACCACTTTTTCAAAAACGTCTGAAGCTGCCCCGCTTGGGGGGCACCTTCAGACGGGGAATGGAACCGCTTCAGACACAATTGGGAAAATGACAACCTCATATAAATGTTTTAGCAATTATTTATTACAATATTATGATACTTAATCAAACCTCTAATGCATATTGAAGTTTTCCAATGAAACTGAAAAAGACAATAATCATTTCCGTCGCTTTGTACCCTGCTCAGAAGGTGTTGGCAAAAGCTACAATTTCTGATAAAGAAGCACTAGAGATATCTGGTATGATGGGGTAGAAAAATTTATAATTTACTTTAGTTGACATTCTCAAAAATGAAATTTCAACATCCCCATCATCACATTTATCAATGTTTTACAGTCCCAAATTTAACCAGAAAATTCTTCAATTTTCAATTTACTACTGCATAATTTTTTTCTGTGGTTCTTCTAATACTTTATCATCAGAGTTTTTGCCATTTTCATCATCAGTTATCTTCTCATTCTTCTCATTTTAAAAAAGTAGTTTTCTTTTCGTAGATTTAGTACGTTCAGCATTAGAGTTGGTGATATTCTTTTTTTCTGTGGTGTAATTTATTATTCTGCTTTTCCCCTTTTCTCTTGGTTTCTTGAAGCTAGTATTAAGATTCCATTTTGGATATCCTCGTATCTCCTCTGGATTTAAATAACAGCCAGCCTGTTCAGAGGGCAAAGGCGTAGAGTTTTGGCAGCTTGATGTTGATGGAATGTCCCATTGGTTGCTGAAAGTTTTCGCTTGAAATTTGGGGAGATTATTAGGAAGAGTTTCGTCTGGAGAATTAGATGTCTCACTGGCCATACTGGGAGCAAAGATATCGTCGGTGAAAATGTGCCCGTCAACTGAAAATATTCCTGCTTTTTTGAAAGAATTTATAATGCTCTGTGGTAACATGGCACGGCCATGTGCTATTACAACACATGCGGCCACGTGATAGATTCCAAAATGTTGGCCTGGATTAGACTTCAACCGTGAATCAATTGCAGCAATATAATATGTTTTAAAAGCTTCCATCAATCTCACATCCAGTGGTTACATCATGTGGGTACAATGGGGTGAAACTGTTAAAATGTTCCCGCAATTAGCTCTTGCTAGCTCTATTGCCTCAATTGACAAGTGGCTCTCATGATTGTCGCAAATTAGAAGCATTCTTATCTTTTCAGAGGAACCTGAACATTTTATAAAGTGCTGCATCACATGAACGAAATTGGAAGTGGTCATCCAACCTGACTGATGAGCCAAACCCAAAGTCCGTTTGGTGCTCCATTTATCATGTGCCTCTTGAAGTGCACTCTTGGAAATACTAGGGCAGGAGGTATTGTATTTCCAGCTGTATTTATAAACAAAACTGTAGTAACCAGAGTTCCTCTCTCACCACTTACAGCAACTGCTATTGTTTTTGGCCTATTTGTAAAATAACACGAGAAGGTTCTTGGTTAGTTTCAGTTTTTGCTTCATCCATATTCCAAATTCTGGATGAGTCACAGAGTTCTGGGTATCTTTTGATTAATTTTTCATAATTATTAAAAAAAAAAAGCTTTCGCATTATGCTTGTTAAAGGAAATTACACGTGCCATACTGCATCCTTCAGCAGCACGGAGGAATAATCTTGGGTGGCGTTTCTTAAAACCGTATAGCCAGTCCTTTCCTGCCATTCTTGGAGCTTCCCAATTTTTAGGACAGTCAATATTGTTCATTTTGGCCATCTCATGTGCTAGTTTTCGAGTTTCTAGATTGTTAAGACCCTAAAACATTTTTGAACACTCAAGTTAATATGCCTTAAGGTCGTCTTCCTGTTTGTCAGTAAAAACCTTTCTAGTATCGTTTCTTAATTTCATATCATGTCCGCTATCTGGGTTATCCCTAAAGTTACCAACGTACATACCAACAGTTTGATATATAAATCCAAATCTTTTAGCCGTATTTTTTATCGATTCACCATCTACGATGGCCGCTACACATTATTTCATAGATTCGGCATCGAAATTTCCT